AGAGTTGAATGTTAGCTGTCTTGAGTTGCATTGTTGGCAGCTGTTACCTGACAACAATTAGTGAATGAATCAAAGACTTTATGTCTGCTGTAGTGTAGAGATTAACCTATAACATACGGACTTTTAAATTGCTGGGAGCCCTCTGCGGCCGGTATTTAAATTGCCCTAATTAATTAACATTGCAAACTATCAGAAACAAATACATTTTCTTTTCTATGCAACACAGAAATACGAACTAAAAACAACCTGAAAGACAATAAAATGTTTTAAATATACACAAAAGAGCAGTTTTTACAAACGAAAATTAACTGATTATTTTGTCATGAAATACAAAATATAATCTTTATTATGTATGTTATGAAATCCCAAAGGACTTACCTGTTGTTTTTTCTTCAACCTTGAATCATGGTGATATTGTAAATATAATCACAGTATATACAATAATATTTTGTTCAGACTGTACACGAGTTCGAACTGCGTCACTTCACAGTTTATGATACACTCTGATGCGTGTGGCACTTCTCGAAGCAGTCCACCTCACACAGAGCGACATCACCCTTTTTACAATAGAAGAGTGTGCTCCTGCTTTTCTTATTTAGTGAAACACAACATATTTGTTTCCCTTTGGTTGGCCAGTGTTGTGAATGTTTCACCTCCAGTCTACTTAGTTGGGCCCCATATAACCTTGGTCCCCCCCCCCACTGACCGCGATATTCGCCTTGTGCGATTGACGAATCATCTTGGGGGAGGAGGGTTTCTAGCAAAATCGAATAAATTATGTTGATTGACAAAGCGACACTCTCCCTTATTAGTAATACTTGCAAAATAGTGATGCAAAGTAATTTATAATACTAGTCGAAAAGAGTGCCAGTCCGACACTGATACCGAAAGTTGCACTGGCGAAGATGCCTTTTACTCACAAAGTAATACTAGCTCAGTGGGTTTATACATCTTCCAAGACACAAAATAAAAATGATATACAAAGAAATATATGACAGTCTGACACTGACTTCCTAACTGATAATTCGTCACTAAAACCAATCCTTGAATGCTTCACACTTCCTTGAAGGCTCTGGGAGCACTCATATGCAGGCACTGATGAATCTTTTCTCATCAGTTCTTGAAGCAAAGCTGGGCTTTGAAAACGTAAATAGTATTGAAACCAGTACCATGATAAACGATTTCATTGTTCAGAACCAGGAATGAACCACTGACATGACCTTATGTAGGTTTGTTTTGGTTTCAAACCCAAGGTCAAACTGTCAGCACTCCCAAAGAGAGCATGTGTCTTGCCCCCCCCCACGCGCGCACACACACACACACACAAACATTCGGCCAACTTTGGGTGCTGCTTGCTGCATATACGTGGTGTGTTCAAAAAGTATCGAGCCTTTTTTTTCCCCCGCTTAAGCCAATGAAGCACGGGAGACCCCTTCGGTGGAGATGTGGAAGGGACATTCATGCGCAGTCGTGAATTTTTCCCGCCCGCAGAAAGCGTCAGTCGCTGGCCGTCAGCCTATGAGTGGGGATGTGTAGTGAGCGCTTGTCAGATTCCAGTAAGGTGTAAAATGACGGAACAACATGAGCAGCGATATTGCATCAAATTTTGCCAAAAGCTTGGCGATACCCAAGTGGAAAACATTTGCAAGATTCAACAGGCTTTCGGTGACGATGCCATGAGCAACTCACGGAAAAATGAGTGGTACAACCGCTTCAAAGATGGCCACACATCAGTGCACAGCGAACCACGTTCAGGCAGACCCTCAATAAGCCGAAATGAGAATGTCATTGAGCAAGTGCGGACTTTGGTCATGGAGGACCGTCGTATCACAGTGCAAGAACTTGCGAACGAGATAGGGTAAGCATTGGATCGGTACATTCAATTTTGATCGAGGATTTGGGCATGAGGAGAGTGTCCGCGAAATTTGTACCGAAACTGCGCATCTGATTCAGACTTTCGTCGCCAAACACAACATCCCTGTGGTTCGTCAGGCTCCCCACTCCCCCGACATGGCTCCGTGTGACTTTTGGCTATTTCCCAAGCTGAAAATGCCGCTGAAAGGAACCTGATTTGAGACAAGAGAAGACATCATGCGGAATGTGACGGTCCAGCTGATCACAATTCCAAAAGATGCATTCCAGAAGTGTTTCCAACAATGGCGGAAGCGCTGGGAAAAGTGTGTGCATTATCAAGGAGACTACTTTGAAGGGGATTAGGGTTTTGTACCTCCAAATCAATAAATGTATTTCTGCCGACCAAAGGTTCGATACTTTTTGAACACACTTCGTAAATATAACATTCGGCGTTAAAGGTTAAGAGTGTGTAAATCAGTGAGTCTGTTATACACAGTTACTTGTAGTTATGAGCTATAAGCATTCAGTAAATCCAGTTGTCAGTCCAAATCCTGTGTCTAACCACTAACATCACATAGCCACAAATTTTACAAATTATTTTAACATGAAGCAGCATCTCCATTACACTTAAATGACAAACCACCCAATGTAGATAAATTTATTGTGAACACTTCAATATTTATACGGCCTTACATATTTCACCTCCAGCACACACATCTAGGAATTTAACAAGCAACAACAGACCAAACGCATCAGTCAGAAAATATAAAACAAGAAACGTTTTTACTGATAATATTTAAACATCTACAATCGTGACATGTTGCAATGTTTATGACTGTATAACTTACAATTATGCCAAGATCTGCATAGTCATAAACCAAGTTCCTTCTACTTTTGAGCCCCTGAAGATGGCCCTCAAAGGGCCAGAACATGTAAGACCATATAAACATTATTTTATTTGTATTAAACTTGTTTACATTAGATGGTTTGTCATTCCAAGTTTTACAAAACCCTTCAGATGAAGTGAAGAATGAGCTGCGACAGGATTCTGAGTTAATTATAAAGTAATCCAGAGGAATGAAATGCTGATAAAGTTGTTAGAAGAGATTCTGTTGTGTCACCGGTCATCAGACTGCACAATGTTACAGCCCAGAAGACCATAGTCTTCATATTCACCCATTTCTTCCTCAGTGGTCTAGTGGAAAATTGCTTGTCATTGGACTCAAGGTTCATGGATTTTTAAGGGTGATAAAAATACATAACACAACTTCCTTTAGAAGGGATGTAAAGCCAAGAGTCCCATGAAGGCCACGCCATAGCTCGAGTGGTTAGTCGCTGGCTTCCCACAGTGGCAGCCCGGGTTTGATCCTGGGTCTGGTCAAGTGGGATTTGTGGTGGACACAGTGGCGCTGGGGCGGGTTTTCTCTGAGTACTTCGGTTTCGTCTGCTTATCTTCATTCCACCAGATTCTCCATCATCATAATCACCCAGAGCAGGTACAATAGGATGCCATGCCGAGTGGACCCAGCTGGACTCCACCCCCCCACTAAGTGAAGGGTCCAATGTCATATACATTTACAGCATGTAAAAGAAGCTTTCACTCATGATGAGAGATGCACAGTGGCAAAATTAGATGCCATTTTGGTTGCCCACAGAGTTCCCCACAATGAGTGAGAACTTGATATCTCCTAACCCAACTGACGTACACTGGGTAACATAACTTGCCCAAGTGGTGTTGCGATAGAAAACAAGTTACAAGTATGCTGGCCACTTGAGGATAAAAGCACAAATAACTTAATTGTTGAAGTGTGGCATTAGAAACCAGTCAACCACTACCAGCCATATTCACCACTGACCACCTGAAATGTAATAATGTTTGTTACAAGATGCTTCATAGTGCATTAGAGGGCAAGTACATCCAGCCGCACGGATAATGTATATAGAACAACCATTATTGAACAACTGCCTTGACTAGCATGTTATTTTGGAAAGTTTTGTGCAGTTTTGTATTGTCACGTGTATCAGTGACTGAGATGCTAGTTTGAATGGGTAATTGGATTTATTGAATACTTACTAGTCACAACTACAATTAATTAGTACACTGTTACTGATTTTCACACTACAAAGCACTCCACACTACTCTCTTCAGTCTATCTCCATCAGTCTTCTCGGATTTATAACACCAAAGTTATAAGGTCTCCCTAAATCACACACTCCCAATAACACTGCACCACAGCACACATTAAGTCTTCAGTTCACATGTTGAAGTTTTCCCAGGCTGACCTCTTGTGCTCTTCTGTACTCCAAGTTCAAATTTGCCACCTCTTTGCTTTCTTGTTCGCATTCTTCTGTTGCTATTATTCACTCATAACTGCCCTGAACTGACTATGCATCTGAATTCACTTCCTTGTAAGCACTCTGCACAGGCCACACACAGAAAACACAGTTCTGCTGTTGTATAAGGCAGACCACACAGAGAACAAGTCATGTCAGTCCTAGCCAGCATCTTCATTGGTGCACTGTTGCATAGCAACGAGCAATAACATTTGTCCACTGAGACACATCTTCCATTGTTGCATGTTGGCTGTGTTTACAGAGCTGTTGCCTGGCAGTGTGTTGATCGGATTTGTTACAGTATGTTAACTTGCTCAGAGGCCATCACTTGGCTCAGGGTGTGGAGGTGCAGTTGACTTAACTTTCATGGTGATGAGAGAAATGTTAGAAATAGTTTTGGTTCAATTGAAGTGTCATCAGTGCCTAATGTTCTGTGTCCTGTGATCTTGAAATAATTGTTGTAGCCTCAACAGAACGTTGTTACTTATCTGTTTTAAATGATGACTCACTGACTGTCACAGTGAAGTAGTGGTGCTTCTGAGGTTTCTTGTAATTTTCAGAAGTCTGTCCAGGCAAATCAAGGAATAGGACCTTACTGTAGACCGTGTTCCTTACACATTCTCACTTCAGCCATCACAGTCATTCTTGAATTTTGACACTTTGTAACTTAAACAGTTGAGAAAGTGTTACAAAGTAAAGCAATAAACCATGAAAATTCAGTGCCTTCCTAAAGTGTTGCAAGTAGACACTCCAGCTTGAAAATGGACAGTTGAGTTTTCATGTGGATGTAACATTTTTTTATGTTATTGCAGCACGATTGCCAGGAGTTCCTTGCTTTGCTTTTGGACAATCTGCATGAACAGCTGAACACTGCCAGCTGTAAGAGCATCTTGTCTGATGTTTCTACTCCTCCACCCACACCACATAGTCAGTGTGAGATTCTGGATGAGCGAGAGGCAGTAAGGAAAGTAACTGATGTTTCGGATCAGGAGTCATTTACCCAAGTAAGTGTATGGGAATGAAAAAAATTTCATCATTAGAGCACCACTAACATTGGGCCCATCATGAGCCACTTCAGTTCAGTATATTCCACTCCACTCCATAATACAAGGGGTACTTGGAAAGTAACCTCTGGTGAGCTGTTAACAAACAAGCAATGAGGAAAAGAATTATTATGTTAAAAAAATGTGTACAGAATTGAGGCACTTGTCATGTCAGTGAATACATTTTTGTATTCATGTGTCAGAGAAGTCTGCTGCCTGTGAGCTCTCCCATGTACGTTTTGACATCTTCCATCAACTCATTTTTGTTGAAGCACTGTGATCCAAACCACCTCTTCAGGAAGGTAAACAGGTGGTAGTCTCTTATAGTGAGATTAGGGATGTAAGGAGGGTGGTCAAACAACTCCAAATTGAAATGCTCGAGCAGCTGTATGTGGACATGTGCTGTCATGAAGGAGCACTGCACCAGATGTCAGCATTCCACACCTGTTGTTCTCAGTATTCTTGTGCAGTTTTGTAATGTTACAGTACACTTCTGACATTATTGTGGTCTCTTGACGCGTGAATTCCACCATCAGCAGTCCTCTCCTGTCCCAGAAAACAGTTGCCATCAGCTTTCTTGCAGACAGGCAACATTTGTTTAAACTTTCTCAGCGTGTTTGGTGAATGTGTGTGCATCCACTGCTTAGGCTGCTATTTGGATTCAGTGTTCACAAATGAAACCCAGGTTTCATCACCTGCTATTTGTACAGTTTGATTGAAAAATTCACTGCCATTTCCATGGTATCAATCTAAAAAGTCAAAACCAAAGCCATTCTCTGTGTTTTGAGTGCAGCTGTGACCATTTTTGGAACCCATCTTGCTCATAACTTGTGATAGTGTAGCCTAAGTATGACAGCCTCATACAGAAGACTGCTTGAAATTTGTGGAAATTCACACAAAAGTTATGAAGTTGTGAAGCACACACATTACACTTTGGCCATAAATCACCGAGCAAAATTCATGATGGATTTCTGCAGCACTCATGTTTTAAGTGTGAGAAAAGCGGATAACAATGCGAATTTCACAGCTGGCAGGATTATCAGTCACAGGATACATCGTAACTCACTCTGTAGAGACCAAAACAAGCACTAGATGACTACCTATATGATGGTTTACATAGCAGTGAGTCATGTGACACTACCTTGTATGCACAAGCTCTCCCCTGCTCCTACATTAGTTGTCAAAAATGAATGGAGGTTACTTTCTCAATAGCCCTCATACTTTTATTTTAATGAACAAATTGAAAATGGACGTGTGTTTGGGAGGTATACAGTTTGATCTTGGTCAAGTAAACACCAGAAGTGAACTTTCTAATGGGCCAAAAATTAGTCATTATTAAGTACATGTTAACATTTGTTTTCAGTATCTGGCCTTTTATTATAATTTGCTGTCTTTCATGATAGTGTAGTTGGTTGAGGCACTATGCTACAAGCTGGAAGGTTGTGGGTTCGAATCCTGATGATATTTTTTCAATTTACCTAATCCTTCCAGCCACACTTGGGCCTTGGGGTTGACTTGGCCTCTAACAGAAATGAGTACCAGGAATCTTCCTGGGGGGTAAAGGGGGACTGGCATGTAAGGCTGACAACCTTACCACCATATGTAAGCTGATTGTCTAGAGAAAATGTGGGAGCCTCAGTGTCTCACAACCCTGTGGGCCTTCATGGCCAGTTACAGGAATAGCTGTACCTTTTTTTTTTACCTTATTATCTGTCTTCCAACAGTTTCCTTACCAGTATTTTACTTGAATTTTTGTTTTCTTCACTGTAGCATGACTGCAATTTCCAACATTATTAAATACTTTTTCTAGCTTACATTGAGTTAGCCAATGTTGGTAAATAAAATGGCAAAGCACTTCCTGTAATAGGCCATGGAGGCACATAAGGTTGTGAGGTGTTGAGGCTTCCACATTTTCTAGCAGTCAGCTAACAGATGTCGGGAACCATAGGACAAGATTCCTAAAATGTCAGTGCCATTTGACATTCTTGACATGCTCATTATATCATGTTAAACAACTCTTCAGTTTGTATTTGCTTCCTGCAGTTGTTTATATAAAGACAACTCCTCTTCGGGAGTTACGTAAGTTTCTGCTTCATGCAGTTGTTTGTACTAATACGAGTCTTCTGTGGCAGTTGTGTGAGGGTTGAATGAAAAGCAGTGGAAACATATGTGGCATACCAAGACACATTTTATCCAGTGAAAAGGAATATTAAACGCCTTCAGTATAGTCACCTACCATGCGATCAACTTTGTCCCAAAACTGTGGGAGGTGACAAATGCTGTCAGCTGATTGGTTCCTGTTAATTGTCACAAGAGGCCACCATGTTACTGCTTGCATTGTCTTCTCAACAGTCCAACACTCCTTCCCTCAGAAGGGTTACTTTGGGAACAGGTCAGAGTCGTGTAGACTCATGTTTGCAGGGTAGGGAGGATGTTGCAGAATTTCCCACTTTCATGTTGCCAAAGCTGTTGCCACTTGACAGTATGCATCGTCATACGGAGCAACTGGCGGTGCACCAGTAATGAGATGCGGATGCTTTCATTGCACTGTGGAATCTGGCGATGCCCTAGAAACATACTGTAGCTCTCCACAGCATCAGTCCAACCCTCTGGATATACAGTTTGAAGGGTGATATTGATATCACCACAATGGACATCACTTTGAACCTTCTGGGCTCCTGGCAAGTTTCTATTAGATGTGAAGAATCTGGATCGTGTTATTTGTTTGACTTCCATTTCAGTTCAACCTCCTAAGCATGTACCCAGGTTTCATCTAGAGCAATGATGTGGCAAGAAAGCATCCTGTGGTACTGCTCCGGGTGGGGTTAGCACCTGTGCCACCTTTGCTCTTCAGTAAAGATGTGTGGTACTGAATCTGATGCAATTTTTCACTCCCTGATGTCTGTGATAGTGGGACAGACTATGAATTGGCCTGCTCCAACCTCCACAGTCAGTTGTCGTGTCATCCATTACAGTGACTTTATGAGCAGTACTTACTCCCAGGGTGGCCGTGCCATAACGCAGGGTGTTGGTTTCCAGTTTCCCACCATGGTGGCCCAGGTTCGATCCCAGGTCAAGTCTTAGGGATTTGTAGTGGAAAAAGTGGCACTGGGGTAGGTTGCCTCCAGGCACTTTGGTTTCACCTGCCATTTCTCATTCCCCCATATACTCCATATGCGTCCATCATGTGGGACTGGTACAATAGCCATTTACTGGCTAACATACCTGATGTACGAAGTGGGCTCAGTCTTGTCACCCCACCCATGAAGCTGAAAACATGAAAGCTACTCACCCAGGATGGGGGTTGTAGTGCACTTTGATTATCCCATGTAGTGTCCTGACCCTGCTGAAATGCTTTCATCCATTATATAGCTGTTTAATACAGCAATGCATCATTGTGATATGCCTCCTGCAGATGACATCAACATTCCTTTGCACCATGATGATCCAGGAACATTGTTCCAACTTCAACTTTCTTGGAGAACTGTTATATGAGCCATTAACTTCCCCATTTTGTTCCATGCATTCTGCTGCCTTACTGGCATAAACCCACTGTGTGTATCTGAGAGATGGCACCGTGAAGCACTGGCCATGCTCGGTCACTTTGAAAATGTTCTGCACAGCCATTGTTGCTGCTTTTTATTCAACCCTTACATAAGTTACTTCTTCATGCAGTTGTGTGTACAAGTGCGACTCCTCTTAAGCGTGAAAATGAAAGTAGGAGCAATAATACATTTTTATACAGAGTTTCATTTTCTGATTTTTGTGTTGCAGAGTGGAATTTCATTTGATGGATTGCGCTGCAGTCATTCGTCTTCATCGCACAGCTCTGAGAGTTCAGAAGAAAGTCGCACTTTGTTTCGTCTCAGACCAATCCCAGAAGACACTGTATCTTTCAGAGATGTGAATCCCAGTAACGATAAAAATCACGGGACAGTAATGCAAGAAATTGGTTGCACTACTCATACTATAAATGATAATGAATCAGAGAAAGAAGTCCATTTTATATGTAACCAGACTTTTAGTAGTGAAAATAACAGCAATAATGTTGCTCAAAAGTTTCGAAGAAAGGAGTTCCAGATTTGTGGTGTTGAGCCAGTTCTGGAGAAGAATGAAGTGGCACTCCAACTGAACAACGCATCACCTTGTTTGAGAGGTTTGGAAGACATTTTGAAGGATGCTAAGACATCAAATGTGAATGTCTTAGTGACTGAACAGGAGGCCAACAATGAGATAAGATTTGACTCTAAAAAATTTCCCAAATATGAAAATGCAAGATGGAGAGATACATTGGAGATGCCTAATTTGACAGAGTTTCATAATTTTGATGGCAAGACAGTAAGTGTTAAACGAATCAAGGAGACTAATCTCTTACAGGAGCCAGTGGACTCTCCACCAGAATGCAGCGAGGAGCTGGTTCTTGAGTCAGGCAAATTCTTCAGCAACATTAAGCGCATGAAACTGGAAGAGCGTGAGAAGAACTTCCGTATGGAGTGTGAACGTAAGCTAAGGAGTCTTGATCCCTCTGTAGCGGGAGAGACGAGTTCAGCAGATGAGTTGCTAGGTGCTGGGGCTTCCTCCTGCCACACACATCTTCCTATTAACTTCAGCGATGAGATAGAGGCCGATAAGCATTGGGAGAAACACCTGAGTGCCAACCAGAGCGTCATTGTTGACACTTTCCAGGGACAGTTTAAAAGTACAGTAAGTTCACACCTTTACTATGAAGATACTGCTCTTGCTGCGAAGTTTTCATGAAAGTCAAGGGATTTGTTTTTATGAGCAGAAAACATGTATCTTCTGCTTTCAGGAAAAGTACTAAATATTTACCTGAGTGTAAAATGAAACTGAGCCTAAGCCAACCTCTCACTAGGTGACATGTCTATGCATAAAAAATTACAATAGAAACTTTGTATACACCATTCTTGTGACCGGAAGTTAGTGGTCACTGTACAAAAAACTGACTCCTAGGAGCTATTAATAACTTGTGTAATAATTTTATTCAATTCTAGATGCTCAGTAAGTGAATTGTGAAAGTAACTGGTTGGAAGAAACATGTATTTTCCTGTTATATTAGTATTTTTCACAAAGAAATCTAATCTTCATTGAACAATTTTTCTGTTTGTAGTTGTATCTTCATTCAGACCATTTTTGCACTGCCAGTATAATTTAACACTTTAGTGTTGTGTTTCATGGCAAAACACATGTTTCCTTACCATGTCAAAAGCTGCTAATTATCATGTACAGGTCTTCGTTTTGCTTTGTTTTTGTTGCTCAGTTCCTTTAATACACTGGTTATCGTATCATCTTGTTTGATGGTATTGAATACCAGATTACCATTGTCCATCTCAGTGACTTCGCTCAAAGTGACCCTGCAGCTTGGTAGTTGCTCTTTGTTAAGTCACTTGTAAGAGATCTTCAGTCATCTTTTTGTGTTGACCTGATATAAAACAAAAGAGTTCTGTCTTCTGGGATATAATGCCACGTAACCCATTGAAAGTGAGCTGCTGTTGCCCCATCTGCTGTGCTTGCTAGGTGCTTCACATTGGTTTCTTCCTTGGCCTGTATTTCAGCACTGAAGATAGAGATGATATGTTCCTTCAAAACATCGGCTAACTTTTGGTGGAATACATGGCATTGTATCACAGAGTAGACCTCTTCATGACAACCACTGTGAGAACCTTAAATCCTACTATGTATAAAACGCCTACCCACAAAACCTGCTGTTGCAAAGCTCTTAGTTATTGGTTTGGGATTAACTTCATCCCATGTGTTAGTAATTCATAAAACAGCATCTGGCACATGTATTGACTTTGAAAATTCAGGTATGTATTCAAAGTTATCAGAATTTACTAAACAGAAGTTCATGGATGTTTCCTATAAAGTATCCTGAAATTTTTTATAATACCCTGGTCAAGCAGCTGCAGATCTGTACTACCACATTTGACAGGTTTTCACCTTTTGGTGAGCTGGACAGATATCCATTGTTGTTAAAACTCTTTGTCATTTCATACTTCTTTTAATGATATTCACTCATTCAGTGAACATCTCACAGGTCATCTGTCCTGATTTCCCTCTCTACAGTAATTGGTAAAATTAAGTATCTCTCTCTCTCTCTCTCTCTGTAAAATTGATCAGCAGTCAACTTGATGCTTGAAAGTCATGAACTTGAACTTCTGTTTTTTGACAGACTGGATGGCTGCTTCTTGAATCATGGGAACTTATGTGTAAGCATTGAATACTCTCATTTTTTGAAACCGGTTGATTGCAGCTTTATTGAAACCAGGGGGTACGCGGTAGCGTAGTTGGTTGAGGCAATGTGCTACAAGCTGGAAGGTCACAAGTTCAAGTCCTGATGAGGTCATTGGATTTTTTTTCAATTGATATAATCCTTCCAGCTGCAGTATGGCCCTGGGGTCGACTCAGTGTCTAACAGAAATGAGTACCACGAATTAATTAAACAATTTTCCTGGGGAGTAAAGTGCGGCCAGTGCTTAAGGCTGGCAGCCTTACCGCCATCTTTGAACCAGTGGTCTAGATAATGTGGGACCCTCAACATCTCACAACCTTATGGGCCTTCACGGCCTGTTACAAGGATAGCTTTACTTTACTTCTACTATAACAGATCAGAACCTGATTAGGGAGGAAATTAAGAGGAGATTGAACTCTGGTAATGCTTGCTACCACTCAGTCCAGAACCTTTTGTCTTCTCGTCTGCTGTGTAAAAACATGAAAATTAGAGTATACAAAACTATAATTTTGCTTGTGGTTCTGTATGGGTGTGAAACTTGGTCTCTGACATCAAGGGAGGGACATAGACTGAGGGTGTTTCAGACCAAGGTGCTGAGTAGAATATCTGGACCGAAGAGAGATGAAGTGACAGGAGATTGGAGAAAACAGAGTAATGAAAAGCTTCAAAATTTGTATTCTTCATCCAATAGAATTATCAAGTCAAGGAGGGTGAGATGAGCAGGGCATGTAGCATGAATTGGGAGAAGAGGAATGCATATAGGATATTGGTGGGAAAGCCAGATGGAAAGATACCACTGGGAAGAGCAAGGTATGGGTGAACAATATTAAAATGGATCTTAAAGAGACAAAATGGGATGGATTGGATTGATCTGGCTCAGGATAGTGTAAGTGTCCTTTTATGGGCCTCATGTAATTGCCACACGTTGGACGTTACTTGTGACAGTTCTTGGCTGCCCCTTCGTGATTGGTATGGATGTTACGTGGTCTCGGAACCACGTCGAGGCGCCTTGGGAGTAAAGGGATAACAATGCCCTGGGATCGAGCAATCAGTTTCTCTCTTAGGGCTTAATTGGCCTTGCTTCGACAAGAGAGGTTTCTGGATGAAGTCTCTGGTTCACAACTCGGTATTGATAGCACACTTTCTTTATTAACAGCACTACACAGTTACAAGCAGCAGTAACTTGCTGTTACATTTGCACTTTTGGCACTCACTGTACACTACTTCAGTATTCACAACACTACGTTACTGTATGGTGGATGAGGTACGTCAGTCTCCCACCGTGTCCCACTAAGTGTACATGTTCACTTACTTATCTGCCTTCGCCATCCCAACTCAATCCTTAAATACTGTGTGATGATGTAACACCCAGAACCTTCTATTTCCAGATCATTCTCAAAGCTTTCTCACTGTTCTTTAATCAAGAACATTCTGGAAGTTTCATTTAACCCTTTGACGTGGTCATTTAAATTCCGCGGCCGCGGCTCCTGCGGTAATATATTCAGCCGGCCATTTAAATTTTGCTCGAAAATTATTTATTCATCATTGTTCTTAAATTCTATGAGATAGGAACATGAAACTTTCACTAAAATGATCTTAAATGGTGGTTTTATAACCTTACCTTATAATATGGGCGCCCTGTATCTCGGCCATGGAAGCAGGTTGNGTTGCTGCAAGACAGGCATATGTAACGACGACTTAGCGCTCTTAAACGCGTGTGTCATTAAATACAGTCCTCCTGACAACAGGCCAGTGAAAAATCTAACAATCTACAGCAAAACCATCAATTATTATGGGCGTTATAACATACGTGTGCAGCTGGACGAAACATACACGTCGAACCCCCCCAGACGATTTAAATCCCTGACGAAACATACACGACGAACCACGGCAACGGGTTAATCAGGCTGGTGGAGTGGGAAGGAAGCCGCTCAGGTTACTACTGGCTGCCATGGATCTTTCTAATAGCCTTGTATGTGAACATTCCTCCTTGTAAATTCTTGAGAACAGTTAATGCAAAACTGGGCATAAGTTACATTTAGTATAGAATTGGTAGTAAGTAACAAGTATTAATATTTAAAAATTATGCCGGTAGGTAATGATCGGTTACGATAGGGACTAGTGAAGGGCTGTTGTGAACACAATAAAGAACCTTCGGGTTCCGTAAAACGCTGGGAAATCGCTGCACAAATGGTGGCTTATCAAGAAGGCTCATCACCATGAGTGATGTTGATGTGCTCAAAGTATTCTGCTTTCTGCGCTTCTTTATGTTGTTCACACAAGTCATGATAATTCTGAAAGCTTGTGCAGGGAGTTTCTACAACTTATCTTTAAGAGTTGGTTGTTTCCAGTTCCCTGACATCTTGGCTGCTGCTGAAATTATTTCTTTTTTTTTTACAACTACTGTACAGTTATTTGCTACAGTATGGTGTCCACTGCCAGCTGAGTTCATATTATGGGTGAAGTGCCTTTTTCCCACACTCACCTTCACTGAAATTGTGGGGGAAGGGGTTGCAGTGAGTTCATTGGGTGACTGTCATAAAACCTGAATAAGAATGGCAGCAGTGTTAAGGGAGGTGAAGTATCATTAGCAAATAACCATATTTTTGTTTTAGTGGAGACTTTACTTCTAAGAAATTATTATTCATTTGAAGAAATTGGGTGGGGCTCACAGTAACATATTTGGTTAATGCTCTATGCTAAAAGCTGGGAAGTTGGAAAGTTTCAAGTTCAGTTCCCAATGAGGTCGTTTGATTTTTCAGTTCACCTAATCCTTCCAGCCCCACTATGGCCGTGTGGTCAACTGAACCTCTAACAGAAATGAGTGCAAGGAATCTTCGTGGAAGAAAATGGTGGCCATCGTGTAAGGCTGATAGCCTCTGCCATTTGTGAGCTGATTGTCTAGAAAGTATGGGAGCCTTGTCGTCTCGCAAACCTATGGGCCTCTGCAGCCTGTTTCAGGGATAGCTTGACCCCCCCCCAGTGAAGAAATCGAGTAAGAGGGAATGAAATGAAAGACCTTTAATTCAGGACTTCCAGCAGATATTTTCCAACAAAAGGAGCGTGTAATAGACATAGTGACTATATGTGATGTACTATACATGTGGATTGCTATCATTGCAGTTGAATCCACTGAATTTTGGTCACTTCTGGTATATTTTATTACTGTCTTTCATCTGACCCAATTTGATGTGCATTATAATACAGTGTTTTCTGGATATTAAATATTGACATATAAGAAGTTCAGTTTTCATATTCCTGCCAAAATTCTCAATAGAATAATGCCCTTAAATTTTCATATATAACATTTTCACACTTTAGAAGTTCATGTGTAAAAAGTTTTTTTAATAACATTTTCCATTTAATACATTTGAAAAAAAAACTGATGAATTACACATGATATGCAAGTTTGATTATAATCTGTTTGAAGAGCTTTACAACCATTGTTCATTTC